TGGCACATTTTTTACCATCAGATAAACATATCTCATTAATATTCAATAACGGAGATTGTACCACATCATTTACTTTAGTAAAATTTTTGATAAACATAATATTTTTCATATTTTAATAGTGGGGTAGAGGACATTGTCACACCAACTTGTGGTTATATATTCACATATTCACTCCTACAAGAAACATTAGTACTGTAGTTTTAGTTTGTAATAAGAAGGAACACCTTGCAATAGTATCCTTGGGGCTGTTTGTTTTGAGGTATAATATTAAGTGGTATAAGATTTTATATTTATTTTATTTTGATCCAATGATATATTATTCTCGATCTTAAATTATAATTTCATCATTCCCCTTATTTGTTTGTCACAAATAATACCTACTTAAAAAAATCAAAAATTACAACTGACTTTTATATGGGTCATTTTATATGAGGGCAATTGGGTCTTTTTACCATAATATACCTCCATGAAATTTATACCACTAGGTAGCTGGTATTGAATAGCACCGTATAAAAGATATTAGTGTTATTGTTCACACCGGGTCAGTACTATGACCTAAAAATTAATATCTAATAAAAAATATCAAATAAATAAGATATAAGATATAAGATAAACCTCACGTACTATTTTTCTTATACCACTCATATCCCTCGAACGAACAATCCCTTGGTATTTTAGTCAATGAAGTATAAAAGCTGGCGTTTACTTGTAGGCCACTGATATAGGTTTTTTTGTTTTTTTTTTCGGTTTTTTTGCAGGGGTGATCAAATCAACTTCGGCTAATACCCTTTTAAGTTCGGATAAAGACAGGTCATTTACTCCGGAATTTAAAAATTCACGAGAAATAAATTTTTCATGATCTAACCCTAATAAAATTGTCAAATTTAAAGTTTAAAATATTTAAATTTACAACCGGTTCATATTTTTAATAGAGTACCCCTTAAATTTCAAACTTGATAGATATAGCCGCAACTCCACATCAATGACTCCATAATTTGACCATAATTCAAAATAAAATACAATCCGTGGACCATTGTCGTGTTGCCTAGTGCTGGACGGTGTCAATCAAGCAGTGGGGTTTGATTTGGCCACCTTTAGGAAACAATTAGAGCCCCAACTACCCTTCTGAAAGTTGGGTGGTTAATAAATCACCGCTAGGCATTACTTACACAGCAATGGTACATTTCATCCTGTGCTTATAAAATTGTTTAGGCTGGTCTCAAAATTTGACTTTATGTCATAGTCTCTCACAAAAAGGAATATGACTTTTTGTACCCATTGAACATCAAACCAAATTATAATAATCCAAGTTGGGATTGTGAAACTGGCCTTCTTTTTTTTTTTAATGAGGGTGTTCTTAGTTTTAACCTAAATTACTTAGAGTGGAAGCGAAATTAAAATGCGAGAGCAAGAGTGGGAGTGTGAAAGTGAAATTTTTCAAAAAAAAAAAGAGGAGAGTAGGTGTGTCACTTAGAATGTCAAAAAATGAGAAATCAAATTATTTATTAATAGTAAAGAAATAAAGAAAGGATTTAAGAAATAGGGAAAGGTTTCCCCCACGTCGGTAATTTTAACAATGTGTTGAATGACAACAACCTATAGTTGGAACAAATCTCACATTGGTAGCTTAGGAGAATGTTCAATGGGTAGATAACTATAAGTAGACGGGTTTTTTGGAAGTTGGTACACTTTTTAAGATTTATTAAACTAAAGTCCAAGTAAAAAAATAATTTGGCTAAAAGTCAATTTGAGAACAAATGTCTAATATACCCTTAACAACAAAATAAATGTGCTCATAAAACCAATTAGGAAACTTTACTTATAATTAAAACACATTTGAAACTAAAATTCCTAAATTTAAGGGTTTCGGAATTTACTCTCATAATATTAATTTACACTACAAAAAAACTGCGACATAAAAAAACAGTGACACAACGAAAAAATAATGACAGAAGGNAATTTACTCTCATAATATTAATTTACACTACAAAAAAACTGCGACATAAAAAAACAGTGACACAACGAAAAAATAATGACAGAAGGAAAAAAAAACAGTGAGAAAAACCATGACACATGGAGAAAACAATGACAAATGAAAAAAAAATGATAAACAACCCCGAATCTTGAAAAACAATAAGATTTGATAGAAAAGAGATAACTCGAGATGATAATGAAATAAAAAATCATGCATTGTTCTTGATAATATGGTGTCTTGGCAAGAACCAGCGTAATTGGAACCCTCAATAGAAACATAGCATTATTCAATAACATTGTCAAAGCAAGGGCTCCATCACTCGAAGTAGCTAGCTCAACCATTAGATTATGATTCTTCTTATTCGTCAGAACCATAATCTCTTGATTAGATACTATTGAGACTGAGAAGTGTACACGCAATGCCACAATTTCGTGTTTCTTCAATAGAGAGAAAATAAAGGGGAGAAAGAAAGAGAGAGAAAAAAAGGATAGAGTAATAATGTCTTGAATACATAGGGGAGAGAGAACGAGTTTGAGAGGGAAAATAAGGAGAAAAGAGTGAGAGATGACATATTAATTTCGTTTGAATTCGTCTTTCTGTACTTTTTCAATATAGAGAAAATAGAGGGAAGAGAGAAAATAACGATGTCTTAAATACGCAAAGGAAAAAAATAAGTTTGAGAGAGACAATAAGGGGAGATAGAAATAAAGAAAAGTAGGGGGAACAAAGTAAGAAATGATAATGAAATATCCAATGAATACTGAAAGTCTCAAATTTAATGAGCTTTTATCCTAACACATGCTTTTATCCTAACCAAAAAGAGAGATGTTTTCAAACTATTTTTCAAACTTAGTCACTTTTAAAAACATCAGTTGTAATGATGTTTTTATACTAATAAGACATCATTTGGAATAACGTTTTTTTAAAAACGTCATTTCAATCAACATTTTAGGAAAACTTTTAATTTTTTAAAAAAACACAAAAACATTGGTTAGACCAACGTCTTTTTAAAAAAGTTGTCTTCAACTTCTTAAAAACGTTGGTTAAACCAACGTTTTCATGCTTATTTTTTATATAACTGAGGAGAATTACACTCTAACCTCCTGAAGTTTGTCACTTAATCACTCAGATTCTCTGACATTTGAAATATTATACATGGACTCCCTAAAATTTGTGCGCGCATAACACTTAGTCTCTTATTGTAAATATATTCGTTAATAAATTATATTTAGACTCCTAAAATTTGTACGCATATAATAAATTCTTTAAATTTCAAATGTTATACTTAGACCAAAAATACTTCAATCAAAGATAGAATGTCAAATATTTTAAATTTCACAACCAAAATTAATAATCTATTGTATCATTTATTGAAAAAAAAATAAAAAATAAACTATTTTCCCTTAACATTAAAGAAAAAATATTTACAAACATAGTGTTTCAACAAACTAGGGCACCAAACCTTTTACATTCTAGATAAAACAACAAAAGACTATATCTAGAATATAAAGGACAGAGTATATAGTCTTTTTTTTCGGGTTAAATTCAGGTTAGCTCACCCAAGTTGCATCCCTAATATAATTGGGGCATAAATAGTATCGTCAATATAATAGTGACAAAAAAAATAAATTTAAAATCAATCGATATTATTATGTGAATATTACATAATTTGAGTGTTACTAATTGATATTACTTTATGTGTGGCGTACATCTTTTGGACTTCTTATTTTTGTTCCCTTTGGTTTTCACACCTAAAAAATGTTGGTTATTTGATGAAGTTACTCTCTTCTTGCATCTGTAATAAATAAAAAAAAGGAAAAAGGAAAAAAAAATAAAGAGTAACTAAACACACATAAGTTGTCATCATAATATACTTAAGGTTAAATCAATTTAAGGCATGTACTTAAATCTTTAAAAGTCTTACATATTTGACTAGACTCAAATTTTCTGTTTAACCATTTGAGGCTTAGTTTTTATTGGCTAATTTTTTGGCCTGAACTATATGACAGGTTCAATACGGTGACGTTCAATAAATACTAAAATTTATTGAAATTATGAAATTGAACCCAAAAGTTTTTCTTATGCGAATTGCAAATATGAAATTTGCGAATTTAATTTTTTGAATTTGCAATGATTTTGGGTCGAGCCAATTCATTGGGGTTATCTTGAGGAATCATGTGATATTGGTTTTGACATTCCTATGGAGAACTTTGGTAATTGTTGGTGTTGGTGTTGTTGTTGGGGTACCTATAATGTGAGCAAACTACAAGCCAACTACAAGTTTGGCCTCTTACTTGGACTGCCTTCTTGGTTTCTGGCCTTGGATTATTTTTACTTGGCAATGGTTACATAATTTGAGTTACTATTTAGCTTCAGGACCTTCAAAACAATGTTATTTAAACTTTATGCCCAAGCCAAGATCAAATAGTTCACTTTTTTTTTTCAATGGTCAGAAGAGTTTGGACCAATTTTATGTTTACTTTAACTAATTTTCTTCTCAGGTTATCCTCTTTGTAATCTCTTGTTCTCTTTCTAGGGTGTAAAGAGCGATTTCTCGCATTATCCTTTCGGGGTTATAATATTTCTTTTTGTGGGTTTTTTTTTTGACCCTTGTGTTGGTTATTTTTCATGTGCTATCAATTTATCTGTGTAAAGAAAAAAAGAAAATACAAATAAAAAGAGGGTGTAAGTAGAGGTACCTATACCCATCCCTAAGCATAATATAGAGTAATCAGTCAATGGATTGAGTTCAAAAAGACAACGATCAATCTGAATATGAATTCAATTTTACAACTTTAATTAAAATCTAATTCTTGAATCCTTTTTATTTTCATTATTCATATTTAAATCGGTTAATATTGAAACTGTGACGCCATTTGTTAATGATTGGACTTGGTTCGGATCAAAATCCGATTGATTGGCAGACCCAAATTAATAACGGGCGGACAGCAGGGTTTATTGTTTAAAGTTTTAAACCCTAAACCCGAACTTGATTCCAAACATTTAAAGGCCTTTCGTGTCTGTCTCTCTCCCCATTTCCCCCCCGTATACTACGACCATGTACCGAGTCGCTGCAGCCTTAGCTTCATCGATCAGGTATCTGTACTTCCATACTGCCTTCACTTCTGCGATCTAAGTATGAAGACATTCGAAACACTCACGCCTCCATCCATAAATATACTAATATTCTCTGCTATTTCTCCAGATCATCTACTTCCAGAAACCTGGTAAGACCTTTAATCTCCACTATAATTTTTGTTCTTGTCATTCTAAAGTTTAATTTTGAAACAGTAACTAAGCTCTTGCATTTCACTTCACCCAATCATCTACTCACTTTATCCCTCTAGTTGGTTTTTCGGGAATTCTTAATGATTGAAAATTTTGATTCTGTTTCTTCTTTAATCACTTACTAGCTACCAAACATCTGTAAAATTCATTACCAATATTAAACTGTGGCATTGCACATTATTTGGTTTTGACAATTAGATTGACGTAGCTGCATTTGAGTGTTAGTTTGCTTTTTGGTTCGACAAGGGGTTAATTTTGATGGGTATGGACTGATCTTTGATTTATTTGCTTCGGTGATGGTTTGAATTGGAAGGTGTGTAGCAGGGTTATTTGCAGCAGAAATTATGTTGCCAAGGATATCAACTTTGGGACTGGGGCTCGGGCGGCCATGTTGCGGGGTGTTAATGAGCTTGCAGAAGCTGTAAAGGTTACGATGGGGCCGAAGGTAATTGAAACCATTAGTTTTTCTTCTCACTTTCTTTCTGATTTGATCATAGATATGAAAAAAACAATGTCGGAAAGACAACTTTAACCTCCTGCTTGACCGCTAAGAATTCTGGCAGAAGAAATAAATCTTAGAGTCCAGTGATTGGTGAGGTTTGGAGTGATTGTTACCTTAACCATCATTTTTTTGAGTAGAAGCGGTCGGCACTTAAAAGATTCCTGAAAATTCCTGTATTCTTTCATTATATTTCGTTCCACTACTATAGGAGAGCAGAAAAATGCATGTTTTCTTTGTTAAAAGCAATCTTTTCTCTTATGGGTTTGAGCTGATCATTTAATCAAACAATTACATCTCTAATGTCACTTTTGGGAGCATCGAATTCTGGCCTTAGGATATTATTTCAAAGTTGAACTCATTTTTCTTCCATGAGCCTCAATTCCATAATGCCAAATACAACATAACTGTTACTATGATTGCATGGAACAAAGTCAGTACATTGTTCAAAGATCAGAATCAAGAAAAGGTTCACACCTTGCTGACATTCCTCCTACTGCTTATTCCTTCAATGTTAAATGCAGGGCCGTAATGTGATTATTCAGAAAATTCATGGGGAACCTAAAGTCACAAAGGATGGAGTCACCGTGGCCAAAAGCATCAATTTCAAGGACAAGACTAAAAATGTTGGTGCTGATCTAGTGAAGCAGGTTGCCAGTGCTACTAATTCTGCAGCAGGAGATGGTAATTTCTTATAGTTATCATTTGCTATAGGGCAAAACTTAGTTGAATTTCCCATGCACTTAATTAATGTCTCAATTAGTGACATCTCAGCATGATTTTCTTGGTTTTAGGACTTTAGAAGGAAGCTAAGACTTACATTTGTGTTATCCAATTTGAGTGCTTTTCTGGAAGAAAAAATATTTTTATGGTAGGAATTTAATTTTGTTAACAGCAGAATGTTTTCATAGTCTCCCTGTACTACCATCACTGTAATCACCAGCACATTATCCACCACAGTCTTCATCTACCTTCACATTCGTTGGAACCGCCACTGTCTCCATCATAATCTCGATCTTCCTTCAAAATCGTCTTTTCGTGCAATTGTCCCTTACGATCACCATTATTGGCACCACCATGAATGATACCCACAGATGATGTCACCCATCAATTCAAATTCAAGTGGCCACACATTGCCTCTTCCTCTTATTGTCATTGTCACTAAATGACCACCATCATTGGCACTGCCATCGATTTCATCTTCAGATGCTCTTGACTCTTCAGAATAAAATATTGTTTTAACATTGCATTTGCAAACATGCATTGTCTTTTCTTTTTTTTTTGTGTCTGTTTGACAGAATGCAAGTTAATTATATATTCCTCTTGTTGGAATTAGCTCCCACATATAACTATTATCTTTTTTCTTTTAGAATTAGTTTGCAAAACCTGTCATTGTTTCACTCCATGTACGTATATGTAAGGTGTTGTAATGTGCACATTTAAATGCTAGAACGATCTTATCATTATGCAATTTCTTTTGTTTGTAACGTCTTTTTTTGGCCCATATTAGTAGATGCAGAAAAAGTTATTTGGATTTTCAAAGTTCACACATATTCTCCTTGAAGAACCAAATTTGATGATTACACTTTCTTTAAGTCCTACCCTTTGATGGGGGCTTGGTTTTTGGATACGATATATATGCATGCATTACAGCTTGAAATAGCTGTTGTTAGGGGTTGTTGATGTCATATTGCGTTTTCCTAAGCTCTGTACACATGCTGACCAGAAAATATGGGTAATATAAATGTTTTAAATTTATTTATTTGCTCAAAGAATCATCTGTTATTTCTTCACCAATTAGTTTTGCTTGAATATGTGTTGGCCTGTGAACAGACAGTTGGAGGACTTGCTACAAGCATATATGAAAACAGTTTTAAATATCTTGTATGTTGAGATGTTAGGGTTCTCAATAACATTCGTTTGCAATGAATTTACCCCCAATACTTGTAAAATGCGGCAGTAAAAATGAATTTTCAATTGTTTCAACTTATTTTTTATTGAGTCTATGCCTCATTATTTGCTTACAAAAGACGATATTATGAAATTTTTATCGAGAAAAGGTGTTAATATGAATAAATAAGGGTATTTTGTGAAAATGCAAAACACTCCTTGTTGGCCAATCCCCTCAACTTCACCATTTAGGAATCTACATTTCAATTTCCCCTTTATTTATTTCTATTGTAAATACACTATGATGGCATCATTTTCCTTTTGTTAGCTAGTGTTCCCCTTTTAGTGTTGGCGTAAAGACTCATATGTTGGTGGAATTGAGACATGAAGTGTTACCGTTTTTCCTGTTTTCATTCCTGCAATTCATATTACATCGTGGAGGATCTCATTGCAGAAAATATATATTATGTGTCCACAGGTACAACATGTGCCACTGTTCTGACTCAGGCAATATTTGCTGAAGGTTGCAAGTCAGTAGCCGCTGGTGTCAGTGTGATGGATTTGCGCAGTGGTATCAGTATGGCGGTTGATGCTGTTGTAGCTGACCTGAAGAGCAGAGCACTGATGATAAGCACACCGGAAGAGATTACTCAAGTAATTTTCTTGTGAGATCCAAAAATATTTTCTGGTTATGGTTGCATTTGGTTATGAGAATCACACTTAAGGAAATACATTCAGAATCATCTCATCACTCTTCATTTGGTGTGGAACAAGGTTCATACTTTTGTTTATAGGATAACTACAAAACAATAAATTGTTACTTCTTTCAAGAAGCTATCCACTTTTCAGAATCTAAGCTTGGTTAAAGTGTTGTTTTTATATTTTTTGATGCAATTCTTCATTGACATAGCTGCACAGGCATGAGAATTTTCAAGAACCATGTTGTAGAATTGCTGCTACTAAAGCTCAAAGAATGACACTTTGTACTCGCATTTGTATAAATGTATATTGTTGATTACAGTTACTTGATTACAAATGACAAGGATATTGCCATTTCTTAGGTGGCAACGATCTCTGCCAATGGTGAGAGTGAAATTGGGGAATTGATAGCACAGGCAATGGGGAAAGTAGGGAAGGAAGGAGTCATTACTGTTGCTGTAAATAACCTTCAATCTTAAGCTGTGATGTATAATGGTCATCATAGGTTGTCAAAGCTCTAACCTTCTGTCTTGTGAATCGTGTAGGATGGAAATACGCTGGATAATGAACTGGAAGTGGTGGAAGGGATGAAGTTAGCCCGGGGTTATTTATCTCCTTATTTTGTTACCGATGAGAAGTCCCAGAAATGTGTATGTAAAGCTTTACCACATTCTGATACTGATGATTAATTTAATCCCCAAATTTCTGTGATTAATTGTGGTATCCCTTTGAAGCCTCTGCACTCCGACTTCGTGTGTGCAGTTCCTTATTGAACTAAGAAACAACAGCTAATACTGTAGTGTAGATGTTGACTGCGTTTACTAATGTTGATCAGATTGTCTGGGCTCTCTTCTGTTGTCCAATTCCATCTGGTGATCAAGCCAATTTTTTCTCTTTTCATTTGACTGAAAATTCTTGTCTATGTGATGTGAAATTGTGATTTACATGTAGGCAGGAACTAGAAAATCCCCTGATCCTTATTCATGACAAGAAAATTTCAGACATGAACTCCCTTGTGAGAATATTGGAGCTGGCTGTAAAGGTAATGAACCCTTTGTGACGGGTTCTTTTCCATTTGCGGCAGTAAAGGATAACCTGGTGCTTAACTTTTTTGTGGAACTTATTATAATTAATTTTTTTGCCCTGCTTTTCATGTCTAGAAATATCGACCTCTACTAATTGTTGCTGAGGATTTGGAGAGTGACGCACTGGCTATGCTTATCATCAACAAGCATCGTGCTGGTGTTAAGGTAATGAACTGGCTATTTTTGAGCCCCTCTACTGAATTGCTGCTTTGTGGTAAAAATATTATGCTGCATATCAAGTCCAGTGGTTAGTTCAATGAATGGTCACCATTTTACTCTAGGAATTTACACTGTTGTTCACATTACCTTTTAGGTTTGTGCCATCAAAGCTCCTGGTTTTGGGGATAACAGAAGAGCCAATGTAGAGGACCTTGCAATTCTTACTGGAGGAGAGGTGAGAAAAGGGTCTACATTATTGGTCCTTCTGACTAAAAAAATCTTGTATGATTATGCACTCATGCTGTCATATGCAGGTTATTAGTGAAGCACATGGCTTAAGTATTGACAAAGTTCAAATCGATATGCTTGGCACAGCAAAAAAGGTTTGAGTGTGACTCTCTGAATTATTTTGCATGTGTCTTATCCTTTTCATGATCCTTTTTTGGGGGATAGCTTAGTTTCTTTGGACCAGGTCACTGTTTCCCTTGACGACACAATAATTCTACACGGGGGTGGGGACAAGAAACTAATTGAAGAAAGATGTGAGCAGGTTGGTGGCTTTTTAAGATCTATGTTTGTTTGTTTTGTGTTTTTATTATCAGTGTCAACTGCATGCCTGTTGTTTGCAAGCCTTGGGGAATAATTTACTTCAGCAAAATAAAAAATTGGCATTACATTGAAAATGTGTACACGAAATCCTGTACATGGATCCAATAATTAGTGAAGGAACGTTCAAAATTCCATAGGTATGATTTAATTATTCTTTTGCATTTTGTTATGATTGCTTTCAGGATTTTTGTGTTTGTTTTTGTTTTTTGGTTATCATGATTGTTATCAGGTTGAATATAGAAAGTTGAGTGATCTCTCTCTTTCTCTCTCTCTCGTGTGTGTGTGCTCATCCTATGCATGCTCATCTACACCTTTGTTTCTGATCCAATAACTCTGGACTACACAAGGTTTTTGCATGATCCTAGTAATATAGGTAAAAGATGTTGGACTTCAACCACTCTGCAAAACTGAATATAAATGGTGAAAACAAGAAGGTTGTGCTTTAAGGTTGCCCTTGCAGGATGCCGTTTTAGCAGTTAACCCCTTTGAGCTTATATTATAAAGTGTGACTGCAAGAGTGTCAAATACTTTTGTGGCTCTCTGTTTAGCTTGCATCAAGCAATTTTCAATTTTGCAGGTTCCATGCCAACTGCTAAACTTGCTGTTTAGCTTTGTCAAATCTGTGGGTTTTGTCCCAATTCCTGAGAAATTCTCCAATTCAACCTGTGTACTTGGTAGTGCATGTCAAATGATGGTTCACGTAGTTACTTATTCATTTTTTGTAGTGTCTTGTCATACCTATCAGTAATAGGCAAAACGACATCTACTCCACCATTGCCTTGGCAGAAATCATTATTTTGTTCATTCTTAACATTTTTTATGAGGGTTGGAATGAATTCAATTCTTTACTGTTAAGGTGGTACTTTGATGTGTATTGGTGCTCAAAACCTTTAGATGATAATTTAAATAATTGTTAGTCCTCAAGTTCTTCAATGAGAAATATACACAATTCCGGTGGTCATGCCTTGAGAAACCAAAATTGTTGCCTTGCTTATGAGTGAAGATTAAATAAATATTGTGGAACAATGTGTGTTTCATAGTTGGGAGGCACTGATGAGTTTATATGTTTGAACAGCTAAGGGAAGCCATGGAGAAGAGTACTGCCATGTTTGACAAGGAAAAAGCAATGGAACGCTTGTCCAAGCTATCCAGTGGTGTTGCGATTTTCAAGGTATTGTCTACCATACAAAACTCCCATGGCTGGATATCTCTGGATGCATGCCCTCATTGCAATTCTTCATTTTCTCAGGTTGGAGGGGCTAGTGAAGCAGAAGTTGGGGAAAGGAAAGATAGGGTTACAGATGCTTTGAATGCTACAAGAGCAGCTGTGGAAGAGGGCATTGTTCCAGGTAGATTTGTATTTGCCATTTAGTGGTAAAATATGTTGCTTTCTCTACAACTACGATTAGAAGTTACCCGTTTTTGATAGGTGGTGGAGTTGCTCTCTTGTATGCCACAAGAGTCCTGAAGAACCTTCAAACTGACAATGAAGACCAGAAAAGAGGAGTCCAAATAATTGAGAATGCTCTTAAGGTTCCGTTTTTGGGATTTCTAGGTCAGCTTTGTTAAGTGGTGGTTGCAGTTTTGTATTCTCTGATATCGATATCTGTCTTTTCATAGGCACCTACTTTCACAATAGTCTCAAATGCTGGTGGTGATGGTGCTCTGGTTCTTGGCAAGCTATTGGAACAAGATGATCTCAGAATTGGTTATGATGCTGCCAAAGGTTTGTCCCTCTAGATGTCATTAGATAATTCCTTGGTATTTTAAATCTGTTATGGTTCAATAAGTGGAAGCTTACCTACGGCTGCATTAGCTTCTAAAGCAGCCAAAACGAGGTTTTGCCCAAATATGAAAAAGGTGGTTGTGACCAAGTGGGCACATCATGCATAGTTGCAAACACTTGTTAAGATACATCATTGTTTTCTAGTGGCGACATTCAAATTTGAATCTCTGCTCACTAAAGGTCATTACGAAATTATTCAACGTACTAGTTCTTTTTTAGCCATTCCAATTTTGTGTTTTGTGCTTTATCTAATCATGGGCCTTTGCATTTTTTTCTTCTTGTCATTTTTGAGGTTTTTTTTTCCAGATAATAATTTTTTGAATATTTCCTCTCCAATTCCTTTTTTTTTAATTTTTTTTTTTGAAATTGAAACTGGTTGTAGGTTGTTAATCTGTATGCCAAAATTCTTGTGTTTTTGTGCACTGACAATGCATGTTCTGAATTAGGTCATTATGTTGACATGGTGAAGGCTGGAATAATAGATCCATTGAAAGTTGTTAGAACAGCCTTTGTTGATGCTGCCAGGTAAAGATTATTGCAGATTATATCATATAGTGTATCTTCTCAATCTTTCAGTATACTAAACAAATTTTGTTGTTGATTTGCAGTGTCTCATTGTTATTGTCAACAACCGAGGCAGTTGTTGTGGACCTTCAAGGAGAGAAGAATCCTCTCGCAAATCGTATGCCAAATATGGATGATATGGATTATTGATTTTGATGACATAATTTTGAAGTTTCAGCTATTGTGAAGATTCAAGAAGCCATGCCAGTAATCCATACCATTTACAAAAAATTGAGCCCTAGTCTCCTAGTCTCAGTTATCTTCAAAGAGTTGAACAAATTTTTTTCCAGAAACCAATTGGGATTTTGAGGGTTTATAAGAGAGAGTACTTGTGCAAAGGTATGAAGGTCTTACAACTAATAAAATTGTTTTGCACACTGGGCATAGATTGCTAGTAGAGTTGTCAACTGTTTTTTATAAAATAATGCTTTTTATCATGCGAGTTTTATCTTTCATCTTCTTGGTCCTTCCATGTTCAAGTCCGACACATTTTTTATTTTCCATTGAGACTACTTTACATTTTAGGATCAGATCTTAACAGTTAGTTGAGTTTGCCTCAAATTAAGGCCTTGGCTATGTCCTATGTCTCCAATTTGGGGCCTAAAACAAGAATTTCACATGAGATTTCGATCAATATTTTGAAAAGACAATAAATTTTTTTTATAGTTGTTAGATATTTTATAGAGAATTTTGGTGTGGTTTAATTTCAATATCTTAGTGGTTTTGGGATCCGATGGGATTGGATAATCAATTGGGTGGTATATAAAGTTGGGATTTTGTGCGTGAATAAATTAATTGGAGTCTTAAAGATATAACAAAATAGTTAGAGAGATAAGTACAAAGTGAGAGAGACAATTAGAATGAGTGGAAGATAAAGGTTTGGAGAGAGGCGAACAGGGTGGAGGAAAAAAATGTGAAAAAAATTTAAGAAACAATGCTATTTATAATGCTAGAAGTTATTACTTTTAGGTTTTTTAGAAGGTTTTGTTATATTTTAAGATTTTTTATAAAGTTTTACATAGACTTGTAAAATATTGTTATAGTTTATGGTTTTATAAGAATTTACTTAGAATTGTGAAATACATTGAGTCTCAAAATATGAAGTTAAACTAAGGACTAAAAATTAACTTAGGATCCTTGAGGTCTTTAGGTCGGTCTTACTATGCCTTCTTCCATTCAAAAAATTTAAGTGTCTATGCATCTTTCAATGATCCTAGTTTTTGCGAGTTGTTTACCGTTAAGTAGATTAATGTTTTATGAATTTAGTTATTTAAAATAGTATTGTACTCGTAATAGATAGAAGAATATAAAGTGAGATTAAAAGGGAGAGATGATAAAAATAAATAGTTTAATTTGTGTTTTAAGTTTACAAAAGGACAAAAATATAGATAAAATGAGAACACGTGTGAGAGAGAGAGTGATTAGTGATGTCTAATTTACACTATTTTTTTGTACCTTTTAACCTTATTATTTTTTGTGTTATTGGGTTAGACTTTTGGATTCAAATCATTTAACTAGGTTTTTCTGTTGGTTAAAAATTGCTCAAAATGTTATTTGGACTTTATTTGAGGATCTTATTTAGGGACATAATGATGTACAACCATTGAAAGATACATTTTAACGTCCCACATTTTAAGGTACAACTAATCCAATAGTTGCATTGAAGTCACATTATTAGATCTCTAAATAAAGTCCTCAAATAAGATTCATATAGTATTGCTCAAAATTTTAATTGAATTTTTTTGTTGGACTCAATTTTTATAAGTTTAAATTTTTGGTATAAACTATGTTACATAGACTTATAAATTTGAGACATTTTATTTAGTTGGACCCTAAAAAGTCCGTGCTTCAATAGCATTGTGTATGGGCAACCTTGGTTCTTTCATGTTCAAGACTTCCGAACTGAGTCCGGCGCATATTTTATTTTCCATTGAAACTAGTTTACCATGGGATCGTCTTGATAGGAACAGATCTTAGCAGTTAGTGAGTGCCTTAAATAGTATAGGGCCTCATTTGCCTCAAACTAAGGCATTGTTTTTTGTTTGATAGCATATTTTTTTTTGGGTGATTTGATTTCTAATAATTAAAGGGTTAATAATATTTTTTGTCCTTAAAGTATACTTATTTTATCAATTTTATCCTCATTGTATTTATTTTGTCAATTTGATCTCTAAAGTTTTAACTCGTGTCATTTTGATCCTTAATCAGATAATTTGTTAATATTTTTTGACAGAAATAATTACGTGTCTTTCTTTTAGACGTTATCACCTGATCAATATTTTGGCCAAAACTCAACGCNCATGGGATCGTCTTGATAGGAACAGATCTTAGCAGTTAGTGAGTGCCTTAAATAGTATAGGGCCTCATTTGCCTCAAACTAAGGCATTGTTTTTTGTTTGGTAGCATATTTTTTTTGGGTGATTTGATTTCTAATAATTAAAGGGTTAATAATATTTTTTGTCCTACTTATTTTATCAATTTTATCCTCATTGTATTTATTTTGTCAATTTAATCTCTAAAGTTTCAACTCGTGTCATTTTGATCCTTAATCAGATAATTTGTTAATATTTTTTGACAGAAATAATTACGTGTCTTTCTTTTAGACGTTATCACGTGACCAATATTTTGGCCAAAACTCAACGGTTTTTTCTATGTAAGGATCATTTAAATACAAATTATATACTTTATGGGTCAAATTGATAAATTATACATATTTTAAAGACCAAAAATTTAAATACATTCAACATGCGTTTTTCTATTCTATTCCGGAGAATCTCATTTATGAAATTGTAAAAGTAACATATTGCTTTTATTTTTCCCTGNTCAACATGCGTTTTTTTATTCCATTCCGGAGAATCTCATTTATGAAATTGTAATAGTAACATATTGCTTTTATTTTTCTCTATTATCTACAAGCTAAGAATTGATTTGGATGTCACATATTCAAATCATGGAAACAATGTCATTGCACGCGGGATGGGCAGGGAACACCTCGTTTACCGGGTTGGGCTGCCATTGTGCTTGGATAACTTGACCCAAATTTGTGTGCATGGGCATACATAATTGAGGGCAGACGTGGGGGGAGGTAATTGAACTGCCATTGACCGTTTCTTTCCTTGGACAAACCAAAGACAAGTATAACGGTCATTACCCCTTGTTTTTCTCCCTTCCACTTTTCCCTTTCCAGTCGTTTCTCTCTCTATCTCTCTCCTGAGAAAGAGACCAATACTGATTGAAAATTGCTTCTAACATCTTTCTGTCTTGTCTTCTTTGTTTTGCTTTTATTGATTGAATTAATTTCACTGATGTGCAACAATGGAGGGGAAGAGGACGTTGACGATGAATTGGGAAGGTTTAGGAGAAGACGATGACGATGATCGTTTTTTTGAGACATTTGATCGAATATCATCTGCTGTGTCCCTTGAACTTGCCTCTTCTGACTCGTCCGAAGATGAATTCGATGAGAGTCGCATGTCTTTTGCTTCTGCTCTCTCATCAGCTTCCATTAATTCCTTCCGTAGCCATGAATCAGTTGCACAATCTTCATCAATGTTGGAAGATTACGACATGTGGACTGCGGAACCGGAGTCCATCACAGATCGTCGCAAACGCCTCCTTCAGGGTATGGGGTTATCGAGCAACAAGGACCTTTTGAGAGTCACCAGCACTAAATTTGCTCGAGTCATCTCTAAAAAAATTGACAATGCTTCAGTTGATTCATCTCCGTCGCAGGAATCAAACCAAGGGCATTCACCTTCAATTCCTATTGTGTTTGTCCGGTCTAGATCCGATGGAGATATTGAATCGTTTTCTGCAAGTACCAAACAAAGAAAAGAAGAATTAATCGGTTCTATATCCAAACAGCGTATTACTAGAACTTCATCAGTGTTATTAACACCAAGCACAGGTATATGTCACTGCGCCAATTCTGTAATATTATCACCAAAGACAGCTAGAAACCGATCTTCAATACCCAATAATGGAGCGTTGCAATCTATGTTGTCAGATGGCCGGTTTGATTCATTTTTCCTGATAAAGAATTTGGATACTGGAAAGGAGTTCATTGTTAGAGAGTTCAATGAAGAAGGAATGTGGAATAAGCTGAGTGATATTCAGACAGGAAAACAGCTTACCATGGAGGAATTCGAGAAGTGTGTCGGGCATTCTCCTGTTGTTAAGGAGTTGATGCGTCGACAGATTGTTTCAAGACATTCCGATGATGACAGGAAAGTTGGTGCAAATTCGTACCTTAGTAAGAGCTTCAGATATAGCAAGAGGAGAGGGGTCGCTCTTTTGAAAAATATAAAAGGTGTAGCAAATACAATGAGTGGATTAATTGTTGACAAAGAAAGAGAGCATCCTTTACCAGCAGACCAGAAAGCTAGCAAGAACTCCTCATCCGAATGGGTTAAAGTTCGTCAGCACGGGAAACACTATAAGGAATTCACTGGTTTGCATTTGTGTCAAGAAATTCAGGCTCATGAGGGCTCAATTTGGACCATCAAATTCAGCTTGGATGCACATTACCTTGCAACCGCAGGAGAAGATAGGGTAATCCGTGTGTGGGAAGTGCAAGACTGCGATGTTATGCCAACCAGACCGCCTGATGACCTGAATTCTGCCAGTGCCACTCCACTCCACCCAATGGCATGCAGTATTTCAGATCGGCCTCCTCTAGCTGAGATCACACCTATGCCTTCAGAAAAGAAGAAAAAGGGGAAGAATTCTAACAGGAAAAAGGGCAACTCAATTCCTGATTATGTCCAAGTCCCAGAAAGTGTGTTTGCACTTTCAGAAAAACCAGCATGCACTTTCACAGGTCACCTCGATGATGTCTTGGACCTGTCTTGGTCAAGTTCTCAGGTTAGTTTTCCTCCAACCTTGTTTCTGTTAAGATGTTGGAATGAGGAATTGCAAGAACACAATCAGGTTGAGCTCCAAAAATTGTACATTTCATATCCAAAAACTGAAATCATCAACTAATTCGTTGAAGATTAAGACTGCAATCGGATTACTCTCCTAATTAGAAGTAGACATTTCCACAATACTGAAAGCCTTTATTTACCCCCCTCATTAACAAGCAGCTATAAAGGTTTTGGTGTAGCGGAGACAAAACTATTTTTTGTTTGTTTCATATCTAGAAAATTTTACTCTCATTTGCTAAATGCAGAGCTAATATACAATTATGCAATTTTTTATGGACATGTAGCTGCTACTATCATCTTCAATGGACAAAACAGTTAGGCTATGGGACATGGAAAGCAAGAGCTGTTTAAAGTTGTTCGCTCACAATGACTATGGTAAGATGCTATACTGCTCAATTATTCGTGGGCCCAACAATGGTACTTTGTCATGTCATTTCATTTGAACCTATTTGCGTCTGATGTGTTTATAATGTGGCAGTAACTTGTATACAGTTCAATCCAGTGGATGATGATTACTTCATAAGTGGTTCATTGGATGGAAAGGTTCGAATTTGGAGCATACCTGACCGGCAAGTTGTAGACTGGACTGATCTCCATGAAATGGTTACTGCTGCATGCTATACTCCTGACGGCCAGGTAAGCACAGCAATGTTTTGCTATATTTTCCTTCTCAAAGTCAATCATCTGCTTCCCCCTAGTCCGGCTTGGGAATTGGGTTTCTCATTAAGACCCAGTTTTCAAGTACTTGGGGAAGTTTCTGAAATTGCAGGTTTAAAATATTCATTTCCCATCCTGTTTCAATCTACTCCTAGTTACACGATGGAAAACTTTTTCAAGCTGAATAACCAGGCAAATTTGTTTTGGACCGTAAGAAAAATAGGAAAAATCATAGTCATATTATTGGGGATTGAGTAAAAGAACTACAATGAATTTTGTTTAGTGTATTATAATGTCTTGTTTTCATAATGAAGGGTGCTGTAATTGGTTCACATAAAGGGAGCTGTCGCTTGTATAGCATAGTTGGTATGAGCTACTCCCTAAGTTCCATTCCTTTTTCTTCTTCTCTGTTTGTTCCTTTATTTCTTTCTTTCATGCATTTATTTTATTATTTTGGCAACTAATAAACACTGCAAACTTCTATGTTCTGATAGAATAAACCATAGAGGTGTATTAATATTCATTTTATCTGGTGACTAATTAGATTGCAAGCTAGAACAAAAATATCTTGTAGATATCCCAAACAAGAAAAAGGCTCAAGCAAAAAAGATTACTGGTTTTCAGGTACTATTCTTTTTCTTACTTCTATCCAGTTTCATCTTGCTTTAGATGTTCTGTTCCCACTTCCCAACCACCTACCATAAGCTTAACAGAATTTGTTTGTTTTCAGTTTGCCCCATGGAGTTCATCTGAAGTGCTCATTACTTCCGCAGATTCTCGGATTCGACTTTTTGATGGATCAAATATCATCCATAAATTCAGAGGTGTTTTTCAAAATGTTTTTTCCCAAAACATGGAAGAATACTCACAAGTTCAATAAATAATGGATTTGTTGGTGACAGGTTTCCGAAATACTAGCAGCCAAATCTTGGCTTCATTCAGCCCAGATGGAAAATATGTCATAAGTGCAAGTGAAGATTCTCAAGTGTACATCTGGAAGCATGAAGACCCCCGAAATATAGGAACTGGGAAAAGCAGAAGTTCGACCACTGTCCAATCCCATGAACACTTCAAGTGTAGAGATGTTTCTGTCGCAATCCCATGGCCTGGAAGTATTAGAAATGAGCCACCAATAGTAGAAGTGCATTCCAAAAGGCACTCAAAGCGCTCCACCCCACAACAGCATTCCTCCAGGGGTTCTCCAACCGGAGAAGATACCTTAGCAGCTACACAAAGTAAGAGACAGCTGCCACCCCTTCCAAAGAGAAGTAATGTGTTGGAGAGATCTTCAAGTTGCCCGGATGAGGACCCTGCTCAACTTTCTCATACAGACTCGGGGATCGGTGCTAGTGAGTCATTTGCTTCAGCTTCGGCTTCCCTTAGGTATGGTGACTCACCTTCTATTTCTGCTTCTAGCAGATCTCAATCTTGGTCTTCCTCTTGGCCTTGGTTTGATGGTGGTAATAGTCATGGGAGCCACACTGTCCAAGCAACGGCATGGGGCATGGTAATTGTGGCAGCAGGACTAGGAGGTGAGATCAGGGTATATCAAAATTTTGGGTTGCCACTTAAGGTTGGCCGGTAGATCCATCTATTTAGAGACCACACATAACATTTCTGTATCGGTAGAAAGTTTTGGAACATATACGTTTGTCTTTGGCAGAGTCTGCCCAAGATCAAAATTGTGCAACTGGGGTTTTTGTGAATGAGATTGAGAGTCAAATTCAAGTAAATGCCTAGCCTGTGCGTCTTGGTTGAGGGTCATCCATGTCAATGGTGTTCTTCTAGCACCCGTCATGGGATAGACATTCTACCGCAGAGTTTTCAATCATTGGGAAATTTGGGCATGTCTGCATTGCAGATGATGATTTTATTGTAGTTGCAATCAAGTGATGGATGTTAATGGAAGTTTCAAACTGTTCCTTGAAGATTTTCTTAGCCTGGTAATTGAAAATCAATCAGAAACAATCTGCGAGACGATAGCATTTACGAATAACAGCTTGGATTATTCATATGTAAATAACAAATATGTATGAGTTATATAATTTTTCTCTATATTAGAATTTTTGACTTTGGATATTGATGCTAAGGGTTCGAACGGGGTTCCAACTCGATGTAGGAAAACACATTTCCAAACTTCATCCATTGAGGTAGCAATTAGTAATATCATCTGAGATTCAATCTTGCCTACGTTCAATTGAAGGAACTTTTGACACTCATTTATAAAAATGTCATGTCGTGTATAATTAGATTTATATCATGAATATTCAAATTTATGTCATTCTATTTATNTCGAACGGGGTTCCAACTCGATGTAGGAAAACACATTTCCAAACTTCATCCATTGAGGTAGCAATTAGTAATATCATCTGAGATTCAATCTTGCCTACGTTCAATTGAAGGAACTTTGGACACTCATTTATAAAAATGTCATCTCGTGTATAATTAGATTTATATGAAAATTTAGTTGGTCAATCTTTGTTTCAAATCACTTACGGTGAGATTATAATTTCTTATCAATTTCGAGTTAAATTAGCGTGTCACAATTACTACTTTATCTCTAACAACAACAGGGCCAAATACATATACATAGATGGATTAAGTAAAAATTGTAGGGAGAATCTCATCTTTACCCTTCGAAAGATTTAAGTTTTTTTTATTTGGTATGATCAAAAAAAAAATTTCTTACATTATACTTTAATGTATTAAAAATTGGGTTAATTACAAAATATCCCCTCCAAGTTTAGGTCATATTGCAATCGACTCCTTCAGATTTTAAATTCAACAATTTGTCCCCTTCAAATTTGAATTATTTTCAATTAACTCTTACCGTTAATTGACCACCGTTAAAAATGATAAAAGTTTATTAAAAGCCGGAACTACCTTCATCTTAATATTTTATGTAAAAATAAAAATAAAAAATAAAACCTCGCACCCCGTTTAGTGAAACCAAAACCCACCTCCCTCCCCTTCCAGTGAACCCACATCCCTAGTGAAACCAAAACCCACCTCCCTCCCCTTCCTTGTGAACCCGCCTCTCGGTGAAGCTGAAACCCACCCCCACGCAAACAATCCACCTTCTCCTCCCCTTCCCCCTCTAGTGAACCCACCTCTTTAGTGAAATCGAAACCCACCTTCCTCCCCCTCCAATTAACTCACCTCCCTCCCCGTCCGATGAACCCACCTCCCCAGTGAAACCGAAACCCACCTCCTTCCTCTTCCAATGAACCCATCTCCCTCCCTTTCCAGTGAAATCAAAACCCACCCCTACCCAAACAATTGAAATCCCTCCAATGAAACCAAAACATCCACACACGGAAACACTGGTTAAATCGAAACATCCATACACCCCACCCTCAAACAACCACCTAAACAATTGAAATCCCTCCAGTGAAACCGAAATTTCCACACACCAAAACACTGGTAAAATCGAAACATCCATACACTCCACCCTCAAACAACTACCTTCCATTCCCTTATCCTATGAAACCGGAACCCACCCCTAATAATAGCCCCCAAACAGCCCCAACCCCATAAAAGAAATCTACTCTCTATTGGGCAACCCCCCTTTTGGGGGGGGAGAGAGAGAGAGAGAAAAAAGGGGTTGAGAGCTTCGTCGGAGCTGGTATGTGGAGAGAAGGAAGGGCCAAAGCTGGGAAGAGGATTGAGGACACCGCCGGAGTTGGGATGAAGTTGAGTACAAAGCAAAAATGAAAAAAAAAAAAAGAAAAAACTGATGTTGGGGTAATTTAGGAAGTTCACATTTTTCACTTACTCAATCAATTAATTTAGTCTCAAAAAAAAACTTGAAGGGGGCAAATTGTCGATTCTAAAATCTGAGGGAGTCAATTGCAACATGACCCAAATATGGAGGGAATATTTTGTAATTAACCCTTAAAAAATTTTACAATGTAGTCATTCCATTATTTTTTGTTGTTTATTCGGTCAAAACTCATCCTATTAAAATTGATAAAATGAGTAATAGAAACTGACAAAAAGGTTATATTATAATATTTTTAATACATTAAAGGTGTTATATGGATAGTATAATCTTTTAGGGTATAAAATAGAAATTCTTGAATCTTTCAGGTGCAAAGTGTAATTCTTGAATCTTTCAGGTACAAAAGTTTAAACTTCTGCTGATTCGAGCCAAAAGTTTAGACATTTCAGTTTTCATAACAAACAGTTGTTTGATGCCAAAACGTCCAAATTCATGCTTCATGGTTTTGCTTCAAGGCGTCTCTTTTCAGCCTTCCCATATTTTCATTCTCCGAAACTGTCCGACCCTTCAATTTTCAGCCGTCGGATCTCTATTACCCACCACCGGCAAGGTCCAAACCCATACCAAATCAGCCAGTTCCCTGGCACCCACATTGAGCTTCTTGATTTTTTCGACCACTTTCTTCAACAATGCATTACCATTCAACAACTCAAACAAATCCACACCCAAATCATATTCGGCGGCTCATTGCAGTCCGGGTTCTTGGCCGCTAGACTCGTATCAATCTACGCTATGTTCGGAATTCTCACTGATGCCCGAGATGTATTTGAAAACACCTCGACTGGATGCAATTCAAACTTGCTTCTTTGGAATTCAATTCTGAGGGCTAATGTCACATACGGGGAATATGAAGAGACCCTCAGTCTTTATCGTCGAATGCGAAATCTTGGGATTTGGGCTGATGGGTTTACTTTCCCGTTGGTTATAAGGGCTTGTGCTATGTTGGGTGATTCTAAGTTGTGCGAGAATGTTCATTGCCATGTCTTACAAATGGGTTTTCAAAATCACCTTCATGTGGTGAATGAACTGTTGGTAATGTATGGGAAGCTTGGGCAAATGGGTGAAGCGAGTAAACTGTTCGATAGAATGGTTGTTAGAAGCCAAATTTCTTGGAATACCATGGTTTCCGGTTTTGCGATTAATCATGATTGTCATGGTGCTTTTGATATGTTTCAGAAAATGGAATTTGAAGGGTGTGAACCCAATCCTGTGACATGGACATCATTGTTGTCAAGTCATACTAGGTGTGGGCTTCATGAAGAAACTTTGCAATTGTATGTTGTGATGAGAAACAAATGTATTGGGGCTACCGGTGAAGCAGTAGCGGTGGTTATATCGGTTTGTGTAAATTTGGGTTTGTTCAATAAGGGTGTTGCAGTCCACGGATATGTTATAAGGGGTGGCTTTCAAAACTACTCAATTGTGAAAAACTCACTTATATGTTTGTATGGGAAACGTGGAGCTGCAAAAGATGCAGAAACTTTGTTCTCAGAAATGGAATCAAAGAATTTAGTGACTTGGAATGCTTTGATATCATCATATGCTGAATCTGGTTTATGTGATGAGGCTTTTGCCGTATTCTCCCAGTTGCAGATGTTAGATGGGTATACAGTGTTGAGACCCAGTGTGGTAAGTTGGAGTGCTATTATTGGTGCATTTGCTTCCAAGGGGAGATTTGACGAATCTTTGGAACTATTTCGGAAAATGCAGGTGGCTGGAGTGACGGCCAATTCTGTTACGATTTCCAGTGTTTTATCAATTTGCGCAGAGTTGCCAGCACTGAGACTTGGTCAGGAAATCCATGCTTTTGTTGTAAGAGGTTTAATGGATATTAACGTCCTGGTGGGAAATGGCTTGATAAATATGTATACAAAATGTGGTAGTCTCAAGGAAGGGCATTTAGCATTTGAGAAAATAGATGGTCGAGATTTAATCTCCTGGAACACGATGATTGCAGGGTATGGGATGCATGGACTTGGTGAAAATGCTGTGAGAACTTTTGACCAGATGACTGAAGCTGGATATAAGCCAGATGGGGTTACTTTTGTTGCTGTTCTTTCAGCATGTAGTCATGTGGGGCTTGTTACTGAGGGTCGTAAACTTTTTGATCAGATGACAAGAGAGTTTAGAATTGAACCCCAGGTGGAGCACTATGCTTGCATGGTTGATCTTCTTGGTCGTGCTGGGTTTCTGCAAGAAGCAAGTGACATTGTGAAACGCATGCCAATGGAACCCAATGATTATGTCTGGGGAACTCTCCTGAACTCGTGTAGGATGTATAAAAATACAGTGGTTGCCGAAGATACTGCTTCTCAGATTTTTGGTCTGAGCTCTGAGATGACTGGGAGTTACATGTTGCTCTCAAATTTATATGCTGCAAGTGGGAGATGGAAGGATTCGGCAAGGATAAGACTCTCAGCAAAGACAAGGGGTTTGAAGAAAATCCCTGGGCAGAGTTGGATTGAGGTGAAGAAGAAGGTATGTATGTTCTCCGCAGGGCATGCAGTGCAAATGGGGATGGATGAGATTTATAGGATACTTGAAACTCTTAGTCTGCACGTGGAGATGGAGGGGTATGTGCCTGATAGTATTTTTCTGCGGCAAAACATAGATCTAGAAGAAATATGCATATCAGAGGTGTGAATAATATTCTAAAAGTCATTGTTTCAGACAGACGCTGGTTCTGTTGTTTTATAAATGGTTTTTGTGCAAAGATATACACTCCTGTGTCATTTTGCTATCAGTAGTCCTGTTTTGAAGGGCCTCTCCTTAAATACGTGTGCACAGTGGCTTTGAATAGCTGTGGTTAGATGTCAGAGTAGAAGAAGAATGGAATGTAGAGGTTCTCAATGATATTTTAGATGATTTATATATTTATAATCATGCTAAGTGCTTAATTTTCTTGTACCCTGCATATGCTTAACCAGAAGATATTGGCGGTATAAATGCTTCCCTCATTTCTTTTCCTGCTCAATTCAATCATATGTTGTTTCTTCTACCAAATCAGTTCATTTGAGTGCTCTGTGTTGAGCAGAATGGATATATCTATGCCAAAACAGTAACTGTCACAGTACAATGCTGTTTCATTCATCTTTCTTCATTACACTCTTATAACACCATTCATCGTTGAGTAGTTATACAATGCAGGTAGCTGAACTACTTGTGCCATGCCTGACTTGGGCAATAACATAGCTGTGGAAGGTTGTAAGTTGGTTGCTTCTGGTGTAAATATGGATGTGTTCAGTGGTGTTAGTATGGATGCCATTACATCTTGACTTGAAGAGGTGATTTTGAATCGGTTGGAGAGAGAAATTGAGCATCTCTTCAATCCTCCATTCTTTTACCAACTCTGGTGACAATCAACAAGTGATGGATGAGAGGTTCTCTACGAATGTATCATTCAAGATTCGTTATACTCTTCAGCTAGCCGCTACAGTTTGTGAGGGTAAATAATGTGGCAGCACCCCGTAGATCATGATCTTGAGCATGTTGGAATGAGTCATCCACTTCTTTTAATGAGGCTTTGTCTTCTTTTATAATGGCCTCATCACTGCAACATCAAGTTCAGTATGAATTATTGATGAACTGAGACTGAGTTGGATAAAACGATAAAGAAAGATAGTTATGGTTGTACTGCTTGTAGTATCCAAGTGTGCAATTGCTATATTATACTCTGTGAAAACAATTTAAGCTGTAATTATAATGGTCTCATGCAATACTAATTATTTAAGAGAAACTCAAATTTACAGATGAAACATGTTATATGCAGAGGCCACAAACTAGAGCTCAAACCAGAGATAATCGAAGTAGAAAATCAAAAATTATACATAGAGCGCAAAAACGAAGGAGACAAACGATTTATTACATGCTTCAGCCTCTCTATAGATTTAAGTCTGCGGGTGAAGAAAAGAAGATTTCCAATGTGGAGATGGAGATACTGACCCAAAAAAACAAAAAAAAGTGGAGACGGAGATTAAAAAAAAAAAAAAATTCTCATGAAGGTGGAAACTCAGATAGATCCATGCAAATAATATTGTTCTATATCTGGTGTATATATCATGACTATATATGTCTACGATGATGATCTTATTGATAAATGGTTCGAACCTTTGTTGAAGTGTTTCTTCGAGCTCGAATTGGAGCTCATGTCTATCGCCAGGTATATCCAGAATCTGCTTGAAATCTTCGCATTCGTTTACAGTAGGTTGCTTGACCCGTAAGGGGGACAACGCTGGCTCTTGCATTGCCCATGAATTGATCTCTTGCAACGATACATGATGATCATTCTGTACAATATCTTGCTCTTGGTGCGATTGAAGAAGATTATGATGAAAATTCAACGGATCAAACGAGCTCAAAGTGTCTGCATTTGCGATATTGTCAAGGGTGCAGTTAAGGGTTGAATGATCTGTGGGATCGGACATTAATATCTGTTGATGTTGGGTCTGTGCTCGACAAATGGCCAACTGATGAAGAACAATATCAAGTTCGGCTCTATTGTACTCGATCAAACGTTGAAGCTCTCGTATGATTCTATAACATCCACCAACAGGGTCATTGGCACGAACATCAGATTGAATAATGATGGTCCTCATGGCCTCGTCCTTATCAGGTTGATCAAGGTTCCGTATGATCTTGGTAATATTGCTGACACCAAACAATTTATGAGCATTGAGAAATTGTCTTTGACGATCGTGAGGAAAATAAGGGGCGAGAATGCAGTCGGGTGCGCACTTCCTGCGCTGGTATTTACAAGCAGCGCAAGCCTGGGTTCCGTTAGCCCTTTGAATGTTGCTCATGTTAGTTAATAAGGATGGTGTGAGAAAGAGAGATATCGGCTGCGTTTCCGGCGGGGATGGAGATGGGGTGTTTCTCTTTTCTTTCTGGTGTTTCTCCCTTATTTTCTGAATGCGAAGAAAAAGAATGGGGTGAAATGGGAGATGGAGAGAAATGAGAGGAGAGAGAGAGAGAGGGAAATCTTGAATAACTTTCGTTGTAATGTAGACGATGTTTGTGGCTATGAAATTTGAGTTTGTTATTGGCCAGGGTGATTGTCATAAAAAGAAATTTGAAAAATTTTAACCCTACCTCCTCTAATTTATTATATATGCAATGACGCTCTATCTATTATCAAAAATATCACTGACAATCTTTATAATTTATATTTAAATTAGTTATAACTCTTACCTAAAAGTACAATAAAATATAAAATTTTATCGTTTAAAAAATTAATCTCACTATATTAAATAACAATTTTTTATTTTTGCGTTTATTTGATTATATCGTTTTAAATTAATTTCTATCTATTATTTTTTTTAAAATAACATCAAAATTTTCTCAAAATATATAAGCCGATAAAATTTTTTCAACACGTGTTCATTATCGTATATGAACAATGTATGAAAAAATAATTTTGTTAAACTAAAAATTAATCAAATATTAAATGATTTAACATGTGATAGAATTGGGTGGTGGGATGGTTTTGGGACAAAAAATATGTGAGATAAAAATTCAAATTCAAAGGTATTTTATTATATAGATATCACTGACACCTCTTACCATTAAACTACCATTTTTAACAAAAAAAAATCTAAAATACCAAAAATACCCCATACACAAACCTCAAACAATATTTTTATATAAAATTCGATTAAAATTTATTTTTCTGCATATTAAAATTAAAGTTGATTAAAAATTATTTTTCTACATATTAAAATTTGAGTCAATTAAAATTCCATTAGAGTTGATTTAATTTATTTATTTTTTTATATTAAAATTCGAGCCTGTTAAAATTTATTTTTTACGTATTAAAATTCAAGTTGATTTGAACTCTACCTAAATTGTTAGTACTACTGATTAAAATTTGCTTCAAATCAATTAAAATTTATATTTTTTTCACTTAATAAATTCGTGTCAATTAATATTTGATTCAAATTTATTAAAATTTATTTTTTACGTATTAAAATTTGAGTCGATTAATATTTATATTTTTTTATGTATCAAAATCAAGCTGATTAAAATTTAATGCAAGTTGATTAAAATTTGATTCAAGTAAATTTTTAATAGAATCAAATTTTAATATGTATAAAAATATAATTTTTAATCGATTGTAATTTTAATATGTAAAAAATAAATTTTAATTAATTTGAATTAAATTTTTATCGACCCAAATTTTAATACATAAAAAAATTTTAAAAAATGAGGGGATCTCATTGAAGATACGTATATTTAGAAGAGGTGTAGATGAAATTTTTCCTCGAATATATAATGAGCAATTTAATAAAATTATATTATAATGAACTCTTTTAATCTGACGGTAGGTGATAGTGAAAATTTAAAAAATAAAAATAACGTTTTTAAAAATATAATAAATTAGAAGCAATTCAAATAAAATTTTTCCAAAAAAAAATAACGATAGATTCAAAACTCATCACATAAATTGGTGCAGGAGACCAGGCCGGCCCATTCATAAGGTCACTAAAGCACCGGTTTTATGGTCTCATTAGAATTGAGGGTCTAAATTTAAAGATCTATGTAGTCCATACTAAAAACTTAAAACTCATAAAAATTGATTCTAATAAAAAATTTAATTAAAATTTCAATAAAAAAAATATATTAATTAAATAATTTAGGCTCAAAAGTCCAGCTCAATGACACACAAAATTAAATTTGGCAAAAAAAAAAGTTTAAAAGGTGCAAAAAACAGTGTAGATCAGAAATCACTAGTCATTCTCTCTCTCTCTTTCTAGTTATCTAAAATTAAAACACAAATCAAACTATTTATTTCCATACCATCACCCTTTCAATCATACTCTCTCTTTTTTTATCTATTACAAGTGCAATATTTTTCTAAATAACTAAAAACATAAAATATTAATCGACTGATTCTCTTTATTTTTTTTTCCTAATGGATGATATGATATTAGGGTAGAATCTTTATATCATATTTTAATTTTGTGGGTCACGACAATAAATTAAGTGTTATCATTTATCATTTTAATTTTTTTTAATTCCAAGATATTAATATTTTCCTATTATAAAAGTGTGTTGTTAATTTGTAATTATAAAAATTAAAAGAAAATATTTGTATAGGAAAAATTTTGAAGATAAAATTTTAAAAATTGTTTGAATTTTAGATCTCATAAAATTAAAAAGATTAGATCTAATATAGTTAAAAAGATTAGATCTCATAAAATAGAAATATCGGGTAAATTAGTCATGTGATCAATTGAAAAAAAATGTATAAAACTTGAGTGCCAAATTCGACTAATAATCACAATCTCAAAAAAAGTGATTTTTTTTAATTAATATTGAAAATAAAAAAAAATTCATTTAGAGTGATCGCTATGAACCTCAAAGTGTATCAAATCACTCTTGATGGGCTACTTGAGCGATTTCAAGAAGTACGTGTCAAGTAAGAGATGAGAAAGACAAACAGATGTATAAATCTATTTACTAAAAATATGTACATAGGATATATATATATATATTTACGATTTATATGAATTGTACTATTGAACAGTTGTACATAGATGACATGAGTATGAAGTAATATATATGTAGTAATGTTTAATATATATAAGATGCCTAAATTACAAATAAAAAAAAAATTATGCAGCACCACGATGTTAACTATGACACTATTTTATAACGGTCCACATAGGATTTTTAACAAATTAAAACAAAATGCATAAATTATGAATTAACAAATATGTTACCTTAATCTTTGTGTGTTACGCAGTGATCAATTTTGTCTCACATAATCGATTCAATGGATAAAGATTCGACATCGAGAGATGCGTAGAGATTATGATCCTTGCGAAACGATCAAATACTTCATACTTCGTTCCTTCGAATGAGAAGAGGTATAACAATGTCAACCTAAGACCCGACCATTAAAATAGGCGAAAGTTGAAACTAAGAATAATATGAAAAACTCTCTTGTCAATAAATCAAGGCATAATCACATCTTTGAAGATTGAGATAAAATTGAATTTGATTGGGTTAATAAACATTATCCCCTTAACAAATTGATAAGAAAAACTGAAGGTCTCTTTTAGTTTTAGGACTCAAACTCTTTCATGCAACCTGATGATGGAGGGAAATCCAATCCAGGTCGACAGCTCTCCAACTCTCTAACTCAGTCCAATTCTGCCCGTTGGAAGACACTCAGATTTGTATATAATCAGATCCCCAATAGAGAAGACCAAATCAAAAAGCAGAAGAGCAGCTGAACTCTAACGCTATCTACTGATAACTTACCCCAAAACTTACGGTAAAATTTTGGGACTGGACTGATTAAAGAAGTAGGCCATATTCAACTATTCAATTATTAGCTTTCTTTGCATCTTTTCTGAGCTATGCATCAGACTTCAACTTCCTTTGTAGGTGATCGAGGTCAATTTTTGAATCTCTTATTATATTCTCTAATTTTGTAGGTTTTTGTCCCGACATTTATTCATCTATTTCTCTGATTAATGCACATTAAAATTTCTTCTTCTAAAGATGTCAAAAACAACTAAAAAGTGCCACTGAAATTTGCATTTTTATCTTCTGTAAGACATCAGACCTTCATACTTGTTCGAAGAAAAGGAAAAAATTGTATATACACCAACATTTAAAGATTCTAAATCTAACTTCAAATGCAACATTCACTTAAAAGAGGAGGATATATATATAGGAATGATAACCCCTAGCAATACAAGATGCAAAATCTAATTTGTCGACTTGAAAAAATGGCCATCAAGATTGTTTTCACAAGTCNATATATATAAGATGCCTAAATTACAAATAAAAAAAAAATTATGCAGCACCACGATGTTAACTATGACACTATTTTATAACGGTCCACATAGGATTTTTAACAAATTAAAACAAAATGCATAAATTATGAATTAACAAATATGTTACCTTAATCTTTGTGTGTTACGCAGTGATCAATTTTGTCTCACATAATCGATTCAATGGATAAAGATTCGACATCGAGAGATGCGTAGAGATTATGATCCTTGCGAAACGATCAAATACTTCATACTTCGTTCCTTCGAATGAGAAGAGGTATAACAATGTCAACCTAAGACCCGACCATTAAAATAGGCGAAAGTTGAAACTAAGAATAATATGAAAAACTCTCTTGTCAATAAATCAAGGCATAATCACATCTTTGAAGATTGAGATAAAATTGAATTTGATTGGGTTAATAAACATTATCCCCTTAACAAATTGATAAGAAAAACTGAAGGTCTCTTTTAGTTTTAGGACTCAAACTCTTTCATGCAACCTGATGATGGAGGGAAATCCAATCCAGGTCGACAGCTCTCCAACTCTCTAACTCAGTCCAATTCTGCCCGTTGGAAGACACTCAGATTTGTATATAATCAGATCCCCAATAGAGAAGACCAAATCAAAAAGCAGAAGAGCAGCTGAACTCTAACGCTATCTACTGATAACTTACCCCAAAACTTACGGTAAAATTTTGGGACTGGACTGATTAAAGAAGTAGGCCATATTCAACTATTCAATTATTAGCTTTCTTTGCATCTTTTCTGAGCTATGCATCAGACTTCAACTTCCTTTGTAGGTGATCGAGGTCAATTTTTGAATCTCTTATTATATTCTCTAATTTTGTAGGTTTTTGTCCCGACATTTATTCATCTATTTCTCTGATTAATGCACATTAAAATTTCTTCTTCTAAAGATGTCAAAAACAACTAAAAAGTGCCCCTGAAATTTGCATTGTTATCTTCTGTAAGACATCAGACCTTCATACTTGTTCGAAGAAAAGGAAAAAATTGTATAT